TTACTTACGAACGACAGTTGGTATACGATAGCCGTACTTGTCCAAAACGATTGTTTTCGTATGTTAAACGGCAAATAAAACGTAGTGATAGTATTCCCCCATTATTGTTACACGATAATTCAGGTTTACTAGCTGAATCAGATCGAGCAAAAGCTGAGACATTTTCAAACTACTTTAGCGAAGTCTACTCTACGTTTATTGTAACAAATACTTGTCCCAGTTACGCCGCGATACCAGCCATGGAATCCATACAGGTGACTGAAGAAACTGTCCTTTCGTTGATAATTAACCTCAAACCTTGTAAGATACCGGGTTCTGACGGGTTACATCCACGATTGCTGTCATCTCTTGCAGACATTATTTCAAAACCGCTCGCGACACTCTTTAACATGTCCCTTTCACTCGCTCAACTACCTAGGGATTGGAAAGATGCTATTGTCAGTCCTATATTTAAGGATGGTCAGAGACACATCGTATCTAACTACCGACCTGTCAGTCTGACTAGCATTGTCGTTAAGTTACTTGAAAAGATAACTCGGGTTAGGTTGCTAAGCCACATAGATTCATACAATCTGTTAGCTCCTGAGCAACATGGATTTCGTGATAGGCGTTCATGCTTGACTAATTTACTTATTGCGAGAGAGGATTGGACAGCAGCCTTAGATAAAGGTCTGTCTGTCGATGTTATATTCATAGATTTTAGCAAAGCATTTGACAAGGTTTCACACTCAGGTCTTATGCAGAAGCTCACAAGCTTCGGAATAATAGGTACTGTACAGGAGTGGATAGGAAACTTCTTACGTGACCGCAGACAGAGAGTGAGGGTCAATGGGACGCTATCCGATTGGAAGCCGGTCAAAAGTGGTGTGCCCCAAGGCACCATATTAGGCCCTCTGCTATTCCTTCTCTACGTAAATGAATTACCGCTGTTGCTTAGGTCGTCGACATTATTATTTGCGGATGATGTCAAAATATGGAGAGCAATAAGAGGTGAGGCTGATCATCTGGATCTTCAATCTGACTTAGACGATTTAGTTAGATGGGCTCGAGATTGGGGTTTAGAAATCAATTCTAGGAAGAGTGTGCTAATGCACATCGGTCACGGCAATAATTACCATTATACTATTGATGGCAAACCTCTTCCATGCGTTCAAGAACATAAAGACTTAGGAGTAATAATAAGTCATGATTTAAAAACAACTGCGCACTGCAACGCAGCCGCTGTCAAAGGTTTTCGTGCGTTGTGGTCACTTCGCCGAGCGTTCAAATCCTTTGACGAGGAAATGTTTCGAATTTTATATCCCACCTATGTAAGACCACATTTAGAGTACTGTATTCAAGCAGCTAGCCCATGTCTGATAAAGGATACTACCTCACTTGAGCGTGTCCAGCGTGTGGGAACGAAATTAGTGAAGGGTCTTTCTAAACTCCCTTACGATGAGCGTTTAAAACGCTTAAACCTTTTCCCCTTGTCGTATCGTAGGACTCGAGGTGACCTTATACTGGCATTTCGTATCTTTAATTATGATTTGGGTGTTAATATGTCTTATCTTTTTGCTCCCTCCAGCACTAATAATCTCCGAGGTCATAGCAAGAAGGTTCACAAACCACGATCTATTAAACTCAAGGTGGGGTTCCGTTTTTCTCATCGAGTAGTCAATGATTGGAACGCTTTGCCCGGTCAAGTGGTATCAGCCCCATCAGTGAATATTTTCAAAGAGAAACTGGACCTTCACTGGAAGCCAACCTGTTAGGATTAACACAGGTTCACTAACCTACTATCCTTATTACTGAAGACTGAAGACTGAAGACTGAAGACATTATTTCGGTTTACATCGAGGTATTTAAACAGCTCTTTCCGAATAATCTTTTCTAAGATTTTAACAACCACACTAGTTAGGCTAACGGGTCGGTAATTCTCAGGTTTATGTTTCGTACCTGTTTTGAAGACAGGACTTACTATGGCGTTCTTCCAGTCTTTTGGTAAACGATCCTGCGTAACGGATAGCTTAAAGCATATACTTAAAGGGTTCGCAACGAAGCTAGATAATTCCTTTAGTAGCCTAGGATGCAATTCATCGGGCCCCATGGATTTACCTATGTCAAGCTTATTTAGCAAATCAAAGACATCGAGTTCATTTATGGTCACGCTATCCAGTGTATGTGTGGGGGGGTTTGTATGCGCCGACGGGAAGGGTGCTTCTATGGTATATACATTGCTAAAGTAGTTTGAGAACACTTGAGCCTTACCAAAGTCATCTTCCACCAATGATGCGGCAGTACTGTCTCCCCATAGTGCAGGAATAATTCCTCTTCTTTTTGTCCTTTGGTTTATATAAGAATACAGGCGTTTAGGACATTCTATGGATTCCTTAACAATTTTTTTTTCGTACAGCTTTCTAGACTTACGGAGGGTCGAGGCACAGGTATTCCTAGCTTTTCGGTACTGAGATTTTGTCTCATCAGTCCCCAGTAACCTAAGTCTATCCTACATTTTTCTTCTCTTACGGAGAAGGATGCGGACCTCCCTATTGAACCATGGTGGGGAGTTTCTCGGCCCCCTTCGTATAGTCCAGGGAATGTGGGGTGCGGTAACTTTTAAGTATAAATTTCGGAATGCATCCCAAGCCGTTTCAATTGAGGACTCTGGGTCTATTGTCCAATATACTAATGATGCCGAGTGCATGATATCTGGTATGCTTGCTTTCCAGACGTTAGGTCTTGATTGAGTTGACGCTTGCTCGTGATTGACAGTTATATGGAAGTCAAAAGTTGAAACTGCATGATCACTTTTGCCTAGAGGTGGCATGTAAAGGAGGTTCGCAACGTCATCCTCATAGTGAGTTAATATAAGATCTAGTAAGGATGATTCAGTGTCCGGGTCCTACCTAGTCGCTTCTTTCACATGTTGCACTAGGGCACATGTTATAACCGCATCAACTAGTTCCTGCTCGAAGGAATTATCTGATGATTCGTTTCGCAGATTTCCCCAGTCTACCATAGGTGCATTAAAGTCCCCTAGGATTAGACATCGACCACTTCGCGACCAAGTACTGAACCTGTTTAACAGGACATCATTTACCTCACAGATTGGTCTGCGATAGACCAAACCAATCAGCAGCTCTTGCCCCTCGAATTTCAAGCGGCAACTAACCAATTCACACGTCCTACTATCATGGGATACACTATCGATAATGACAAACGGGATAGCATTCCTAATGAATAGAGCTACTCTCCCTCCTTTACGCTTATGTATTCTGTCGGTCCTTACAAAAGTGAAACCCTCAAAATCGAGTTCCATATTATCTATAGACTGTGACTGCGATTATGTCTGGCTTTGTCGAGTCAATCTGTTCCCCTATTTCCGATAGCTTATTGAGCGAGCTTCGGGCATTAGTGTAACAGATCCGTAGCCAATTTAAGTGGCTTCGTGTTTCACCCAGAGTGGCTTCGCCATCATTCTCTGAAGAAGCCTCACGACCCGAAAATTTACAATTTTCAGGTCCTTTTCGCCAGCGTCTAACCTCATTTGTAGTTCTTTTTCAGCTTCCCGACTTTTTACACGGTCTGCCAACGGCAAGTACTTTCGGATGAAAACTCCCGAACCCTTTAATTTATGTCCATTCTGTAAAATTAAGTCCCTTTCATTCGAAGATTTGAAAACTACTTTAAGCAGTCTAGATTGATTAGGCTTCAAGTTCGCTAAACTACCTAGTCTATACACCTTTAGCAAGGTGACTCCGAAGATATTTAGAGGCATGAGTTGATTAAGTAGCTGTTTTATCAGGACAATGTCATGCTCAAAACGAGTTTTTGGTTTGGAGCTTTCGCTCTCCTTGATCCTATGAAAAATGACTGATATGTTACTGTGATCAGCCTTCGATTTTTCGACTTCTTTTGTGGGGACAGGGTTCCCTTTTATATCGTTTTTCTGTTTCGTCCTCACAACCTGTACCCATTCGTCAACGTTGCTTGGTGAAGCAACCACAGTCGCGTCAAACATACTGTGGGATTCCGGAGGGTTTTCGATGACTTGAGAGGTCAGGTTTGGTCTCCCTTTAGAAACTGATCGAGCCTTGCGGTTGCGGCTTCTATGTGTTTCTTTCTGGATACCATTTTGAGGAAGTGGGACAGAAGAAACTTTTTTCCTTGAGTTTTTTGTGCGGACAGAACTCTTTGGGGACTGTTCTCCCTCCTTTGGTCGGTGCGAGTCATCTGTTTTCGAACTCACTTTAGTTTGCCTCACTCCAATTCGCGTGTCAACGGAGCGAGTACTTGATGATGTGTCGCGACCACTATTGCCAAAATATATTTTAGCAGCACTAACCAATGATATGGCCTCGGTTAGCAAGCTGTTAGCATCCGAACAGCACTGTTGACAGAGCATATGCAACCATCCCTACTGAACCGTTTGAAAGCTGCAGGCGTTAAATTTGTACAAACTTCGTGGTACCATCCTTTGCACTCATCGCACTGCATGCCGCTTTCAACAGGATAACGACAGCCCAGGCGTTGGCAATTACTTTTTTTGCACTGTCCAGTCATTTAAACACGGGTTTTTTAGAAAGAACTAGATGCAAAAATACTCAGGGACAAAAAATAATCTATGACCAAAAAAAGTGGAAAACTGTGGATCGTTAGAACCAAAAGTACCTACAGATACTATAAAAAACAGAATACTCAAAAGTACTGACAACAAGACTACTTTAGAAATAAAAACGATAATCTAATCGAATACTTTAACTGAAAGAAACTCAATTAAAGTGAAAACCAGTAGTTTTGATACGTATAAACGATCATAACAACAGAATTAACTCAGCGAGGAAAAATACCACTGTCCATTTTGAATAGCACACTTACAAACTGTAGTGCTTATTTTTAATGACTTCAATAAATGCCACGGTAACGTAGAAAAATCCAGGGAAACACCTTGAGCCAGCTTTTGCACAGTGCCCAACTCCGAGCATCACAAATACGGAAAGACCGCCTTCAACAATGCCACTCAAGGTCGTGGTGGTGGATTTGACCTGGACATACCTGTGATGAACTGCAGAGAATACTCCTTTATCTTTGTATGCTTCTTCAGTTTTTTAATACTTTTAAAAGTCCGTTGTAGAACCTGAAATTTCGGATGTTGTTTCAGGTATCTAATTTGTTGTAACATTGTGTTTCAGCTTTATTTCATACAATTTTACTTCATAGGACGTTACCGACTGTGAGTCTTTGTATTTATTTTATTTCAATACAGCTTGATTTTAAAGGAGGAGCAGTAAGCTACAATTCCCACCTTGGTATATGCGATGTGGATTGTGAAAGTCTTGACTTGACCTATGTAAGTTCCATACTTCGTAGTGAGTGTTTTATGATGTAGCTTGTGTGGTTCTGGCGTCGTTTATGCTACAGAGTGGAGATAAATCTGGGCAAAGGTCTCTTAGACGCTGTTTAATAATCTTAATCGTTATGATGAACTTTGTATCATGTTGATAAATCTTTCGTTATTCAACTCAGACACCCTTATTTGTTTGGTTTTTACGGGCACTTTACTTCACTCGACTAGTCCCCAAAATCAAAGCAAGGATAGGTACGTAACTGTATTTCGGATTGAGTGACAGTGAATCACATTGAGAAAAGACGGTATATTTGCAACGCATCTGCATAAAAGGAAGCAAATTGCACATCTTGCTTTTAAACGGATTGGGGAGTCAAACCAACTGCCTTTAAGTAACTGGCAAGTTACTCCGTCTACTGTATGCCCAGATCAGTAAAAAGACATGTTACATATACTTATTGTGAGCTGAAATGTTCACCAGAATTCGAACTTTTATGCGGTCTATGGATTCATAGAGCTATGTAATTATAGTGTTATTTAGGTATCAATGATTGATTAGCAAGGAAATTACATGTTATTGAGTCATATCGTGCCTAACTCAACGAGTCAACTTTCTCAGGTCGTGTAGTTTGAAGTAATTCGAATATAGTACTCGGCTCATCTATCATATCGTCACGTTCGAACTGATACTTCATTTATGCGCATTCAAAGTGTTCAACTCTAGTTCAGATGGTGATAAATAAGACCAAAGGAAAAATATTATCGCAGTATAACAGTAGAAACCAAACTTTCCAGTCCCTGGAATCTAGAAGCATTATTCCTTTTTTAAGGTTAATTACTGTTTTTGTTTCATTTTTGAATTGCATGTAGATTAAGGGAGTCCTCACAAACGTGTATGAAAAGGTCCTCTGGAAATATATTCGTAGGAAAACAAGACATTCCCACTATGGTTTAAAAGATTAATTAGTTAACATGTTTGTAAGCAAGCTCAAGTTCAGTAATTTGTAACATAACGAAATATCCACTCTTTGTCCTCCCGAATTCCAATAGTCTCCTTTTTTCTCTTTCCATATTTGTTTTACTGCATTATACTCTTTGAATAACGTCTTCAAAGCCTAATTTTTCCGATTACTGCTTATGCTTTTACTACCTTTACCACTATGGGATTTGAATCGACAATTGTATCTCTGCTAATATGGTATGGCAACTTGAACTGATGTACGTACGTACGAAGTTCTACGTTGTTGCTGACCTGACCTGATGTAAATGGTGTTAATAAATATTTATTATTTCGTTATCACCTGATCATAGGAGCCAAATTCATCATTCCAAGCCACCGCTTAACTCAGCCTTCAATTTTAAGGATAGGAGATCAAGCAAACTATATTAATCCTCGCAATCTGTATTCCTATGAAGGTTCAATTACGACTCGGATATATCAACAGGTGTTGATATGGTTAAGTTTCATGCGATCATTGAAATTAATGGTTGAAGACTGATAGCATGAGTCAGTATCTGTCAATCTGGCCCATATGCATTCACTTTCGTCATCCCTTAGATCTCGAGTTTTAAAGCTATCCCAGACTTATTCCTCGAATTTTCAGACCATTGTCTATACCAACTGGTCTTACCACCACTGATACTGTTATTATTTCCAGTACTTCGGCCTTTATCTGAACGATTTCAGCCTGCTCTACTGATACGGTGTGGAACTTAAACTGATGACCGTATTTCCCAGGTCTTACGTTGTTCATAACTGAATAACTGAATGGATTACTGTCGATCTAAAAGACCTTTTCGCTTCCTCAGCAACCAAAGTATACACGTTTCATCCTGTCAATAAAGTTCTGAACTGCCCACTCCATTAAGCTTGTTTAACGTAACTTCATGCTGACTATAGTCTGTTGGATAAGTGTTACTACATATAATTTAAAGTTTATTTGGCTTCTGTTCGAACTTTTACCAGGTGTGTATAAACTCCAACCAACTTATCGAAAAAGTAGCTACTTCAGTTTCAGCCTTTGTTGAAGCCATGCATCGTGATAGCTGTTCATCTAACAACAATGGCGAAGTTCGTGGTGCAATTAACTTGGAGTTTGTGGTTCACAGAAAAGGGGTTTGGTTGGGACCAGAAGCCTCGACTTGGGAACGTTGGATTGTAAATGTGATTTTGAAAACCGTCAGTGCGAATGGTAACCTTAGATGTTTTTGAGCACCTTTATTTTATCTCCTTGAATTCAGTAGGTGTTGATACGTTACTGAATTAATATCCAGTTCAATAAGCGGTTTAGTCACTATATTATCACTCATCTCTCTTCGAGTTTTTATCGTTCTCATGTTATAGAAATGTGGGCAACTAGGGTGTATTCCAAATGCCTCACATTAGTATTCACTGGCTTACTCTTATCAGGATACTTAACATGATTTCAGTTGAGTACAAACCTGTAACGATTTCGATCCAAACAATGGTATTTGTCATAAACAAAAGCTATTTAGTATGTTTCTGAGATGTAAACACTTGGTGATCCGTTACGTAGAACTACTGAATCGCGATAAATAACGTCATAGAATTGTTAGGAATTCCACTCTGATAAACCTTTATTAGAGACCATCTGCTATAGTTTTACTATTGGTGATTATTTTGGATTGTGGCAATTGTGTTTTGCAGTTGCCAATTTATTTGAGCTACAAGGTGGCGCAATTTATGCCCAATGTTGGGTGATTTTCATGCATGGAGTTGTATTAAAAATCATTAATCTATTTTGTTAATTGGGAAAAGAACCCTACATAAGTACATGAATTTGTAAGGTTTTTAAGTTTTGATCTTTGGGCACTTCAGACTTGTTGCTTTTTGTTGATTTTACAATGACTTTCCCTGTTTTCTTTTGATGGTTCAAGAATAAAAATAAAGCGAAATAGTTCGAATTCATTTTATTTTAGGGTTTTTGTCAACCGGCTACGTAAAGAATGGGGTTTTGTCTGTATAGTATATTTAGATGGATATTTCCGGAACAAAAAAAGCTGAAGAAAAGATAAAGGTAATAAGTGTCTAGAATACGGGGTAGGTGTCTTATCTGCGTGAAGAATATAAAATATCGGAGGATTTTCATCAGCATAAACGAAACTAGGAGACGAGTATAAGGATTTACAGCGAGTGCAAAAACGTTATAATTTGGTTGTATTGCTATCAAAATGAAATTACTGTGACAGGAATATAACAAGAACAGTTTCTTGCAGAATGCATAGAACATTCTTAAATATTACAAAAGCGGTCGCTTCCTCAAGAAACAGTGAATTCACAATCACTTTTGGTTGTTAGTTATAGGCTCAAAGGATTGTTACGCGTTTTATCAAGCAGTCGGCACATACGTGTATAATATTAAACAGTGTTGACTTAAAATCTTTTTTATGGGCGGTTTGGTACAACGTTACTAATCTAGGAGTTAAAATTTTATAAGTTTTCACTCAGTTTCATGGCGTTTCACTTTCTTGTTTTGCGGTGATTTATCATTTATGATTCTTTTCGTCGATTGTCTATTAACAACTATTGTTTCAAACTGATTGTTTACCACAGAAAAAGAGGATCATCGTCGTCAAATCAGCAGTCAACTGAGAGATGAATTATGCAACATTCTTGAACACTTCAACTCTCCTTCAGCTTATGCTCCATCCTTAGGTAGCTCACAAGCGGAAACAGAACACATCATTGACTTCTCTATGTGCGGAATCTCACCCTATCGGTTTAGTATAAATTATCTTTCTAACTCATGTCAAAGTCGTTCCGGAGTGAGTGTAACCATGAGGCGTATATTTAAAGATGCTAGACTTTGATATACATTTTTATTTTCATATTTTGTGTATTATCAACATTATGTACCTAATTTTGATACCGATATTGGACTATCAATCATAAGGGATTTGGCATTTATATAATGTCGTGGAAGTCAGCTCTTTATTTCCTAATTCTTGTTTTTATTTTTCGCTATGTTTATTACTTGAAGTTACATATTAGTATTTCTTTAATTCTGATTGCTGTTTTGTTATGATTTTGGTGAATTTTTATGTAAATTGCGATGAACCAGTTACAAATGTGAGTTTGACTTGCATTATGCAATCCACTTAATGTAGGGTCACCAATCCCTTGGTTTTGAAAGAATTCTGTCATTTGTGTAATTTTAGTAGCTGTTAAATCAACACCTATTCTTTCAATATCAAACAAGATATGAAGTAATAGTAAGGAGCACAGTAATTAAAAGCAGGTTTATAAACTAGGTGTTCTATCGCATTAGTGAGATGTGTGATTGATTATCAAGTTGTTTTATTATTACTAATGACTTTACTCAATATTATATTTTTGGTACAATATGGAATTCTTAGCTTAAGGTATTTCAACAAGTTTGTTTAACGAAAAGAAAAAAATGAGAGAAACTGCACATATATTTACATAAGTTGAGCAGACAAACTACCCATAATGCTTTTTTGAAGATTTGAATCGATACAACATGTTTAAGAATACATGTTGTTGAATAGGCCAACTCCAACAACTTGTCCGTCTCATAGTGTGTTTGCTAGGTAAGTTATTGTAGAGCTTTAATACTTTTGCTTGCGTGAATGGATTCTAATGTATTGACGTCTCATTCTACCAGAAGGTATACAAAGAGAAAAATATGAATAGAGTGGATGGTTAGTATATTATCTGATAACACCTGCCAGGAGTTTGCAAGTTTTTATATGTCTGTTCATAACCATATTAATAATGACCTCAAAAAATTCATCACACCCTGCTAACTGCCTTCAGCTTTCTCCGCAATACAGCAGTCTTTTCTCAAAAGCTCAGGAAAGAATAATAGGTAATATTCAAGAACTGACAAACTGTAAGAATAAGTGTCGAGTAATACCAAAAGCATGTAGCCTTTTTATGTAGTAAGTCAGACGGAATACTTTCTTCGATAATAATAAAACATGTGAAGACCAACAGAGATCAGAGGAAAAGGTTGCAGCAAGATAAATGACCTTCGACACTGTGTTTATCAAAGAACCTCCAATGATAAACATGGGATTCCAACAGGGTGTTTAGGTGCTATTCATGTCTCAGGCTAAAGTCAACAGTGTGACATTTAGACGAGTTAATCATAAGACCATCAGTAATAGACTACCATTCAATATGAGACAAAAGCTCATTAATTTTTTAGGGATGTAAAGAGGAAGAAATCGTCGTACATACACTGATATCGTCCTCAAATCCAACAAAAGTGAACTACAACAAAGAGTAAGCAATGAGGACTTTTCATAAAATGAAATTGGAAACTTGCCACACTTCCTATTGATAGACAAATCCGATGCATCTCACCATTTCAGTTTGTCACTGAAGGGAGTACCAAAGAAGTACATCAACCTTATAAAGGCTCTCTACTCGAACACAACTGGTCGAGTGAGAGCTTATGGCGAACTGTCATCGGAATTGATTACCTCAAGTGGTGTTCGTCAGGGCTGTCCATTCTCTCCGTTCTTGTTTAACTTTGTTGTTGACGTCCTTTTAGAGATGACACTTTCCTCGTCTAAATTTCCAGGAGTTGAACTTCTACCGGGAGATCCACTTGTTGACTTAGAATATGCCGATGACATAGTTCTATTTGGTGAAGACGCTGACAAAATGCAGAGTCTGCTGACCACTCTAAGCAACAATGCAAGCATGTTCGGCATGCGATTTTCCCCCTCGAAATGCAAAATGTTGCTTCAGGATTGGGTTGCATCGACACCCAATCTAGTGATAGGGAGTGAAGTAGTTGAGCGTGTCGACCGCTTCACTTATCTTGGAAGTCTCATCAGCCCTTGTGGTTTGGTGTGTGACGGAATCTCAGCACGGATACAGAAGGCTCGACTAGCTTTCGCCAACTTGCGTCATTTGTGGCGTAGGCGAGATATCCGTCTATCAACCAAAGGACGTGTTTACTGCGCAGCAGTCCGTTTCGTCCTACTTTATGGCAGTGAAACATGGCCAGTAAGAGTAGAGGACATTCGTAGGTTACTAGTATTTGACCATAGGTGTCTTCGAAACATCGCTCGTATATCCTGGGACCACCGAGTAAGTAGTGTAGTTGTTAGGAGACAGGTTCATCACAGTCTGTAGTATGCGAATTCAACGAGCGTCTGTCTTGTGCATGTACTGAAGTGGAATATTTTTCTAAGCAAACAGTATGTAAATTACACACTACAGGTTTGTGTGACAGTTCCTAATTAGCTCAACTAACTGGTTATCTAACACATCACCCCTAACTTTATTAACCTTAACAATCGAGGTTTATGTTTCGAGTTACTGTATTGTACTAATTTAACCTTTTAGGTCAAATTAGAAACGTTGCCTTAAAAATTGTAGAATAAACGGTCGTAACAACAATGGGGTATCTGAATTTCTTTCATTTCTGGTTCTCTGTTTCTGTGATAGTGACAACAAACAATAATGTAACAATAAACATGTGGTGAAAAAGTATGTTTATCCGAATGTTTCGGATTATTTCTGTGAGCGATATTGATTCTGAGAGACTTGCAGAACAAGAATTAGTGGTGATCTTTTACTTTACATCTACAACACAGGTAAGAGCAACTATTAATGTAAAAAAATTAGTGTGTTTAGAAGTTGTCTAAGTATTGAAGAGAAATGTCGATCGCGAAAATAGTTTTAGATCAAGATGTAACATTTGATAATTTCGAATAGATTGAGCATTGGGTTGATTGTTATAAATAAATAATATATTTGTGTTATCCTAATGAGTAGAAAATTAGATTTCCTACTCATTAGGATATCACAAATATATTATTTATTTACAAGATTTAACAGTTCATAAAGTCAAAGGCTGTGTTGGGTGATGCATACATTTTAATCGTTGTGTGCTTGACGATTGTGATTTATAATCCTTATAATATATGGTTTAGAAAAGGTCTTGTTAAGTCAGATGCATTAATTCTTTATGTTCCTCGATATCTTGTAAACAGTGTTATTCCATACCTCATTCCCCATTCGTACTTTCTTTTTGTTTCGCTAACAGTTGGGTTCCTAATACCGGTTTTCTTAACAAGTCTGAACAGTTGCCTACTGTTACCTATTGCCGCTGCCTTTTCCATCTCTCTAGCTTTCGCTACCCACCACTGTTCGCGATTATTGTGTAGGCTTCTTATCAGTTTGCACTTAAGCTGACTCCGCCCTTCGTTATGTTCAGAGCCAGATGGAATGTGTTTACAAACATCTATTAGTGTGGTAGATGCTACTGAGATCCAGTGTTTCTCCCTAGCCTTATGGTTTACCGTACTTGCAGACATCACTGCTGTTTCTACAACTTTTCGGATGTCATTCCACGCTGCCTCGGGGTGGGCATCACTTACATGGCTGCCTAACTGTTTTTCTAGTTGTTCTTGAAATATATTCTTGGCTTGTCTATCATTACGTAGGACCCTAAGGGGTTTCCTTGTACCATCTTTCCTACGTCCAGTAAGACGTAGACAAATACGCGCTCGCACTAGAGCATGATCTGAGTCTAAGCATGTGCTCCAGAATGAGCGACAGTCTTCTATCGAGCCCCTCCATCGGTGGCTGATAGCGATGTGATCTATTTGGGTCCAGCGTTGGGACGAATTAGGGGGTCACCATGTTAAAAGATGTTTTTCCTTATGCCTAAGGTTAGTAATTGCAAGAAATAGGCGGTTATCTGAGCATAGCTGCAACAAACGGTCGCCGACCCACCCAGGTATCTTTCCCTTTCGCTTAGTTTACCTACTTGAGCATCAAAGTAGCCAGCCACTATTGCTACTTCAGAGCGCCTAACCTTTTGGAGAAGGTCGGGAAGCTTTCTGTAAAACTCATCTTTTACATCATCTGAGCTGCAGTCAGTGGGAGAGTAGGCAGAGACGACGAAGAGGCAACGACGAGTGTCCCTATCTTTCCGAGTCCTTACTGTTCCGTTTAGTCGGACAGCGCACAAACGACTGTCTACTGGGATCCAGTCTAAGAGAGCTAGTTCTGCCCTAGGACTCAATGCTATATCTACACCATTGAGGCCACGGGGAGCAGCATCAGGGCTTCCAGATACACGAAGCGTAAATCGAGTTGGTTCGTTACTTTGACATGGTGCGGTTAAACGAATGACACTACTAGGACCCTGTGTGCGCGTTTCGGAGACGCAGTACACATCGATGGAGCGAGATTCTAAAGTCTTAGCTAAGGAAGCCTGTTGTCCTATTTGGCACAGTGTTCGGACGTTGAAAGCTCCTACGTGCAGTTTGGAGCATGGTTCCAGGAGACCAGGAATAACATTCCGCGTACTAGAATCGTTTGCACTGGCGGGGCGAGGTGATAAAGGGACTTGAGAAGGGTTATTCGTGGAGATAAGAGAGTTATTAGGAGGTGTAGGAAGGATTTGAATGTGATCAACTTGGTCTCATGTACTGTTACGTGTATGAGGGCTGATATTACTTCCTGGTTGCCCACACCGTGGAAGGGTATTTTTTGAGGAACCTGAAAAGGAAGTTGGATTAGTATCGGTTTTAACGAACTGGTAGCGTAACGGCAGAGCTCAAGGGACAACTGCTTGAGGCCGGTTACTCACGACCTTTGCGTGGAAAGTTTATAACGTGTTAGCTCCGTTCTTCAAAACACATTACTGCTGTCACACCCCTCTACAGTCAGCAGTACGACTCGGCCCTCAGACCTTGAGTTGCTGTCTTTAGTCTTATCGGTCTCCAATCGACAACCCTGGCGTGGTAGAACCTACAGGAACATATATTCCAGCGAATATAGCTCCGTTGGGTCATCATGATAGTCAGGCCCGAGCACCACATAGCAGCTACGGTCGGATAACCAATTTGAAAACCATTATCAGTGCATACAAATAGCACACGACTTCATGTGATAACTAGAAGACTAAATTTTAGTATTGCGTATAATTAAAAGTGGTTATGTTTCATCTGAACAATTTTAGTGACCCATCACTTTGACATCAATTAGACCTCACGATGTTGTCGACGGCCTCATCACT